ACTATTTTTTCTATGCAGCAGTGTGTGTGGGGTCTCAAATTCCCCACCCTGAGAGATATATTCGGCACAAATATAAAATGGAGTGTGAAATCTCCGAGTGCGTTACATGCGAGTGAATTAGATATATTAAAGGAGAGTTATTTTAATAGGTGCGTGATGCATACCTGTCCAGCATCAAGGAGAAGAACTTTGTCTCACTCAATGAGGGTATTCAAACGGTGAGCACAGAGACACACAGTGCACGATATGAATTCTTCACGAATGGTCTTTTGGATGAGAGCATCAGTTCTGTCGTCAACAGCAGCTGTTTTTTTGTCAAGAGCGAGAATCTTTTAGCGGGGAAGTAATACTCGAGAAAGACTCTACAGATGTGTCTGTCTATCACTAAATATATCTCTCTATATATAGACATATATATATATATATATATATATATATATATATATATATGTGTGTGTGTATATATATATATATATATATATATATATATATATATATATATATATATATATATATATATATATATATATATATATATATATATACCTCCGCATCGAGACCCAAAGAATTCCTTCTGATGACATCTTTTAAATGGGCCCTCTCAAGAGCCTCCCACAGGTCAGCATCATTGTGTTCATTGAAGGGGTCAAGGTTAAACCTGACACTTCCTGTTCAGAATAATACAACAAAGGATCGTCAGGCACACAAATTTAAGGAAAAAAATATATTAGATTAGTAGTACAAGATTGATTGTGAGCGCAAACCTGAGAAAAGAACAGGTGATTGTGGTATGATGCCAAGAACCTTCCGGAGGTCCGTTAATCCAAATTTCGAAATGTCACAATCATCAATTAAGACCCTTCCCCTCTCCAGCTCAACAATTCGGAAAAGAGCATTAAGCATGCTCGATTTTCCAGCCCCAGTCCTTCCAACAATTCCAACTTTGTCACTCGGAGAAATCGTGAAGGATATTCCATGCAGAACAGGAGGAAGCTCTGGCCTGTATCGTAAAACAACATCTTCAAACCTAATAGATCCTGCTGAAGGCCACCCTGGAAGAGGACGATTGTTCTCAATGACACCTGGACCTTCGCAGGGCAAGTCTATATATGTGCCGACCCGTTCAACAGCATTGAAACTATTCTCAGCTAGACTAGCGAGCCTTAGGACAGCAGTTAATAAAGATGTAATATTCAGTGCATAACTGAGAAGTAAACCCATCGTAGAGGCAAATGCTTGTTGGTTCTCTGCCCTTCCATTCTGCACGACAGCAAAGGTTGCAGTGAACCAAATCATAAGGCCTCCCACTGTCTCTAAACGAATGCCGAGCCAGCGGTTCCCACTCATGTTGACAAGAGTGAATCTGATGTTATTGTCCATTGACTTCCCATTGATGACGGACATTCGGTCGTATGCTCTGTATGCACGTATAGTTGACAGACCATTCAATGCTTCGCCAAACTGTGCGTACACGGGTGACCTACTGATGGAATCTAAGCGTTTCACTTCCCGTGCTGTGCTCTGCAAGTATCATAGTATATGATCGGAAACACACTTTTAAGCAATAAATAAAAAAGTAACAAACTCGAACAAATTTTATGTGGCTTCGGTAAGTCTAAATGCACATTCATCCTAGAAATCACTTGATGATAGGTTAAGCATCAAAATTGGACATAATGCATTGCCTAGAAATTTAAGAAGTGCTTTAAAATGGTTGAGTAGATATACCACTAACTTATATCGTTTTCAGGTGCAACTTCGGCACATTTTTACAACATTTTGCATAAAGGTTCATGGATTTTTTTTTACAGTGTCTGTTGGATCAAGAATTAGAAGCTAAATCAGCAATTTAGACAAACACCAATGAATAATTCACTTCAAGGAAAGTGGATTACAGTATAGCAAATAATCTAAGATTATGAGCTTCCAGTTACCACAAAGATACAACCCAAGCCTATGATGGGACAAGCAGGAAACCAAAAACAGAAAACATGTTGAAACTGATAAAAGTATAACCAACCAGTAGTCATCTGATTTGAATGGCAGAAGTAGTAGAAAAAACATGGGCGGCATACCTGATAATATAGATAGGATACATAGAACAAGACCAGAAGAGGCATAATGGCCCACAGAGACATTGTGCTCACTATTCCAATTAGCACAAATGTAGAAATAAGCTGTGACACTTGGCCAAGAAACATGTTCCCGAAAGGAGCAAGATTTCGATCAATGTCACCAAGATCCTTGGCAAATCTATTAATGATTCGTCCAAGTGGGTTCGTATGGAAGAAGACCATTGGAGCTTTAAGGATAGAATTCAGCATGGCAATGTGCAATCTTCGGGCAGCATAAAGGCTCGAAGTGATCATCCAAAATGAATTTGTTAAAGTTACCATAACCTGAAATTTGTGAAATTTGAAAGATTTAGGCAACCAGCAAAGTTCAACTCTTCCTCATGCAGCTGTGGCAAAAGAAAATAAAAGAAAATGCAAAGCGCAACTTATAAATACAACTTCAGAAAAATAAAAGCAGTGCTCGACTTACTTGACCGAAAGAAAGAAGCGAATAGACCGAATTGTAAAATATTGGCCCATGAATATCTGAACTGCTGCTTTGATCTGTCCAATAACTTAGCCATGTGCTGCTTGAAACTCTCAGGACTTCCGTTGTAATATAACACATAAAGAGTATCATAACAACCCATGTACCTCCCAAAGCATTTTTGTATCTGCAGCAGTTCAAACAGAAATAGGGTATCATAAAATCAGTGAACCAAATGCTCGATTTCTCTGCCGTTTCCACAAGTACAAAATATAGATTGATCATAGATTTTAGCAATACAAATATTTTAATCGTGAAAAGCAGGAAAAAACTGTAAAGTATATAGTTTTTTAAACTCAGTCATGCCAAGAATAGGACAAAATTATCATACCTCATTAAAACATTCCAGCTTACAACACCGGTTTCTCGTTCTTCCTGCTTTATTAGCATAGACTTGCCTGGCTTCTTACTTTGTTTTTGATTGGCATCTTTAGACACCTCTTTGTCCAAACCATTAACAATAGTTTTGGAAGTTCTATCATTATTTATGTCAACTTCTTCATTTTCTTCAACATATTCTTCCATTTTACCGGCATTTTCCATCAATTTTTGGAACAGAATTCCATTGTTTGAAAGCTCTTCAAATGTTCCCTCCTCTTTCACCGTACCTTCATGCACCAAGAGAATTCTATCTACTTGTGATAGAAAATGTAGCTGATTTGTGACGAGAACTCTTGTTTTTCCTCTTAATTCCCCTTTGATGCATTTCTCAAAAACCTAATGATGCAATAACTACAGAAATCAATATTTTATAACTTATATCACAGACTGAGCAGAGATCAGAAAGGAAGACTGAACTATTACTCCTTGCATCGGTTTTCTTAAAGGGAAGTTTATAATACTTCTTTAATGTTTTCACATATAAAAGTTCTCCACAATTTTTTTGTTTACTTAAAAATGCAAAACCAGTTAGCACAGCGTAACAAGTTGAAGTATGCTAGCAAAACAACAGCCAAAAGAATAATGATTAATTATCAGGACCAATTTGCAGATGTTTGAAGCTGGGTAGTTTTTGATGTGCACAGACTTATAGTTGAAGTACTGACCTGTCGCCCCACATGAGCATCTAGAGCACTTAAAGGATCATCAAATATGTAAACATCTGAATTAGAATACACAGCCCGAGCCAAAGAAACTCTCTGCTTTTGCCCTCCACTAATGTTGACCCCGCGTTCTCCAATTTCTGTAAGATCACCCCCCTAGAATAAAAAACGTTCGAGGTTGCAACAATTCAGACAACAAAAATCTTCAAATCAAAAATAATTAATCAAGTTAACTGCATGATGATATTTCCCAGAATTCTTACTTGTAGTTGATCCAGGTCATGCTGCAGGGAAGTGACGTCTATTGACTTCTCATATTTTGCAGGTTCAAATGGGGAACCGAATAGTATGTTGTCACGGACCTAAAAACAAAAATTCTCATTGAATGAATTCAATTGAAGCCAAAACTGAGCTGCATGTTATGTAATCCAAAGTAATTGCCTAATCCACTTGACTTCGGTCAATTTCAAAACAAATCTGTGGGTTATTTAACTCACCGTCGCATTAAAGATCCATGAAACTTGTGGTACATATGCAACATCTCCTCTAATGACAACAGTTGCATCTGCAACTGCTGGAAGCTCTCCAAGCATTGCTGATACAAGAGATGTCTTTCCTTCACCGGTACTGCCAACAACAGCTACTAAGCTACCAATTGGTATATCCAAGTTGATGTTCGACAGAGTTGGCCTTTCAGACTGTATAGATAATAAATATCATGTCTGAGCAAGTCCAAAAATATCAACATCTAAAACAAGATGTGAAAGTGTACATATGACTGAGATTTCAGCCAACAAATGTATTTCATGAGATTGGAAAATAAAGTCACCACAATGAACAAAAAAGATATTTATTACTTGAGAAACAAAAAAAAAAAGAATTTTTGTTTCATGACTAACTGCAATACACTTGGTTCCTAGATGTCCTCAACTACCTTTCACACATCTGATTTTTGACATAATATTCAAAGACATGAGGAATAACAAAGAAATCAATTTAATTGTTGAGAAGTGTAGAATGATGATTTGAATAATGTGCATGGTATACAACGCATCTGAGGCCCACGAACTAATAAGTATGCAATTTGTTGAGTAAAAATAAACTGACGAACCTGAGCCTCCCAAGAAAAATATCCATTCCTGATTGTGATAGCTGGTAATCCTGGTTCAATGGGAGGATTAGGCAGAAGAATTCTCTCTTCAGCTGAAAGAAGTTCCTCTAGACGTTTCAATGAAACGTTCGCGTTAACAATCTGGAGATAAGAAGGACATGTGCATATTAGGATTTTTCTTCATAGAATAACTAAAACAGGCATGAGAAGAGAATAAGGGAAACAATCATCCCCCCAATATACAAACATTTTCTGCACAGACAATATTAGACTGCACCAATCGATGAGGCAACTTAAATCAGGAACGATTTCAAAATGAAGAAAACCATAGATTAGATACCATTTGCCTTGCAATTTGGAGTTAGAATTAGCAAATGCCCGAATGTCTAAAGTTTGCAGTTGCCAAATTGGAACAAGGTGAACACTCATATGCAATTTCAACATAGTTACAGAAACATGTTTAGAAACTTAAAATGCCATTTGAATTCGAAATATATGATATATTACATATTTACACAGAGAATAGTCTTTGGGTCCCATTAAGAATGTGAAATATATAGGAATGTTTAAGTTGGCTTGTGCTGAAAATTTCTGAAAGAAAATACCTGTGTTATGATGTTAGGAAGCATGAACAGAGGGAATCTTAGGACTGCAAACAGCGACAGAGATGTAAATGCCTTTGCAGGTGTCAGATCTCCTCCAAGTAAAGTGAATACCCCAAATGAAATCACTATCACCACTACAGGAATACTATTAAGCATGAAGGTGTTCAACTGCAAATTTGTAAAAAAAGTGTCATGCCATAACAATTCGAGAAAAGGATTAAGGAAGGGAAATCATAAAAAGAGGAAGCAAAGGGAAAATGAGAAACATATATACAGATGTGCAACCTGATACTAGGCTCAGGTAAAGAAAGGAATCCATAGATAACAACATAACTTGAACAATGAAAATGAATATATCCCTAATAATTCTACAGAAGCAAGAAATATAGGTAGCAGGCAACCAACAGCGTGCACATTTTCCTTAATGTTTTAATGATTTTGAGTAATCCCCATTCACTAGATGGCAAATTTTCTTATAGTGGCATGCCATCATGCCAGTTCAATAGACTTTCACTGCGAAAAATCAAATTGCATGTACTATGTTTGTATGTCATTAATTTTAAAATAACATCCACAGCATTGTTTCAAGTATATATGGATAAACAGAATGCAATCATCAGGATTAGTAGTAAATAAATAAAGATTTTCAGAGGACAATCATACAGCTCCCAGCAGCTGTGCTTTCCGGTACCAAGATAACTCCTCATTTCTGACACCTTGAACCTTTGTCTGAAAACTATCCTCCCATGCGTAGCATCTGAATCCATGTAGGCACAAAAACTGTCGGTAATAGATAGACAATGTAAATAATCTGAGAAATCGTTCAGTTTGTGAAGCTTACTTGACAGTGTCCATAGCAGCTAAAATTTCATTCATGAGCCCAATTCTCTTGTCGGTGCATAGCAATCCTTCTTTTGTCAGTTTTTGCATCTTGCTTATAGTGAATGTCTGCTTGCACAAGTCAATTCCAATTTATAACTATCTCATCCCAATCAAACAATAAATAGTAAGAAATCTGAAACAAGCAAGCTAAGACTCCCAATAGTAGACATGCGGATATTGAAAAATATATATGGCAGGTGAATGCTTGGCAACAGTAGATATAAGACAAGTTGAAAAGAAATATAAGGTGGCTACAGTTAATATTGCACTAAAATTAAATGCTCTACTTTAGACTTTGAGATTGTGGAAAGTCGAAGTAAGACTTTATAAAAGGGCGTCCAGAGATATGACTGTATCATTATCAAAATATACTCGTTATCCATAGGTCCCTCCAATCTTTGTCCTCAAGGCTTTAATATTTTTAGCCTTCACATTGCAGCTGATGTTTCACTATTATAGTGGATGTCTACGACCCTTAGGAGCTCCGGCACAGCGGAATGCAAAAAAAAAATCTACGGAATTTCTTATGAAACTTCAAAACCAGACATTAATAGCTTCTTATAGTGGACATCTGTGAGATTTTGGAGTTCCGGCACACCAAAATGCAACAAAACTAGTGAATAAATTTCAACACAATTTCTCATGATAACTTCCAAACCTAGGCAATTAAGGTCATTAGCCATTAAGACACATTCAACCTCTAAGTCATCCAGATATTGGAAAGGCATAATTTGCACAAGAAAATAAAAAAAAAAACAAAAAAACAAAAGCAAAATATGAGCTGCAAAATCAAAGGTTATCATACTTGTATGGGGAAAAGAAGAACAAGGAGTAGTGCACCAAGAAGTGAAGCGACGCCCAGCTGCTGGTAAAGAAGAACCAAGGCAATAATAATACGGAAAGGAGCTGACCACAAAGCGTGGAGTGATTGGCATACTTGCTGCAACAAGCAAAGAATGTAGAGTTGAATCAGGCAACAAAGTATACACTCAAAATTCTGTTAGTTTCTTCCAGTGTAGAAGATGCTTAATGTGCACCCTTTCAAGTTTCCTACTTTATTTGATTAACCTTTTAGTTAAACAAATTGTAAACTCATGGAGGGCTGCTATACGACTATTATTTTCCAGTAGAGGAGAAAAAAAATAATAACAGGAGAAAGATATGGAAGTAATAGACAAGGCCACTTCATCTACAATTGACAGCTCAGCTCAACCCCATTTCTGAAGATACATTGGACAAGATACCCTCATTCAAGAACTATAAAATAGAGAATCAGTCAAACATTTTCCACCACTTGCATTGCACAATCCTTGAATCGAAAGGATCTGCTATCCACTGCCCTAATTTATATTGGGTAAGAAGAAGAAAAAGGAAAAATCTCCTACTATGTTCACTGCTATTAAAGATAGACTGTATCCCATAAATTATACTCTTAACACAATGAACATTCAACAGGCAAAAGAAGGAATCTAGGCACAGAATATACAATAATGTACCATCTTAAGTTATAGCAACAAATCACAACTAAAGGTTATATATGATTTCAAAATATACAAAGAATACCTGAAGAGCTTCCGCATCAGTTGTCATTAAATTTGTTACTTTGCCAGATGCAAACTTTTTGCGGCTTTCGTGAGTCAGCCTTAAAGATTTGCGGAAAACTGCAGCAACCTAGAAAACAATTACAAACTGTATAAGAGCCTTGCAGAGCATTAAGGAGCTCGAAACCTTAGATAGGAATAGCAGTCTCCTCTTTGGAATTATAAACCTTTCCAACTACATAAAATCCCCAGATTCTTTCCAACCACACCAATTCACAGCCCAAAATAGTGGAATAACAAAAACAGAAATAACCGAAAAAAGATAATAAATAATACATTAATACAGAACATACTTGAAGGAGAAAATCTCAAACTTGAACTCTAGTTCTATAGTAGACATCTGATCATCATAGTACTGAAACTAAACTTGCTTACCAGAGTTGATCTCAGCCGATAGCCAACACGCATGACATTTTGGAAATACTGAGCTTCACATAACACGCCAAATACCTGATGGTAGGGGTAAAATGAGAGATAAAAAAGCCATCAAAATTGCACAAAATACACATACAAAACCATGCACATAAATAATAGCACATAAATAATAGCACATAAAAGCGTGACAAAATACACCTACAAAACCACACACAAAAGTACTCGCGCAAAGGTGCATACGCTCATGAAAACTAATACTAGGACATGAATATGCATTAACAAACATGCACAAAACACTCGCACAAAAAATCTTGATAACAAGTGCGGAAAAAGGGGGAAAAGTTGTGCCAGGTAACTCATCTAAACAAACTGACATATGTTATATATGATCACTTAGAACTGCCAACACCTGGACTCAAAACCTGTATTAATAGTTAGTTGCTATATTTTCCAGGCAGAAAGAATGGAGTGGAAGGCATTCATTAGGATCAGTACCAAACAATGAATAACTTCTTTAAAAGGAAATAAATGTCTATGTAGGCTACATGTATAGCAGGATACAGATTGAACTTATTGCTGCAGAAGATTACGAAATCAATAGGTCCGGACCCTACTAATAAACTCCGTCTTTTAAGCTACTGAAAATGAATACAGGGTCCTTCCCCCATCATCTTTCCATCATTAAGTGGTGTGCTAAATTTTTGATTCTGGTGTTGCTGTATGACACTATCATCAATAAGCACCACCAGGAACATATAAATCTACCCATTGTATCTTCTATACACTACATAGGCATAATGATTTCTGTATTACTTCAAAATGACAAACAAACAAGTATGAAAAGAGTACAGATGATTAAAATATTAACAGGAACAAATGCAGTGTAAGTCATTCTAAAATATGAAATGGAAAACAAAAAAAACCTACCACTCCAAGAAAGATTGAGAATGCATAGATGTAACCAATCGAAGCTGGATCCCCTCGTTGCATAGACTGTTGATGTCAACAATAACAGAAATGAGCTTTTGTGATTGCACATGACGGTGCTTTTCTTTCTTTTTGTTGTGGGTAGGTAGGGGGTTGGGTGTTAGAGAATTATTAAGTGACCGCATGGAAAGCTAATCTCGAGTTCTTAAATTAGCATCTGAAGGAATAAAACGAACCTGTAAAAGCTGGCTCAATACAAGGGGACCAATAAACTGTGAAGCATCATTCCCTATCTACAGGTGATAATAATCACATGTTAAGAAAAGGAAATAAGCCAAAAGATGACGAAACTGCTATGCATATGTTTATTAAAAAGGAAAAAAAATGTTAATAAGAGAAACAAAAATCAATCACCTTCCAAAAGCCTCCCCACCAAAATCTGACAAATTAGTGGAAAACAAAAAAAGGAGAATGTCAAGTCTTTTAACATTTAATAAGCTAATCAATATAAATTAACAAATCGAACATATTCAATGTAATGAGGCAACAACTTCCGAATAATGTGGCTCCCAAGACTACCTTCCCCCAAGACTACGATTTAGAGCTCTTAAAAGCCAAGGTTTGGGTCTTCGGATCTCATCAGCCCACGATCTCTGGAATCTAATAGTACATTAAAAAAATAATTATCAGCAAAACCTCTCTCGAGAAAAGAGGACAAGCATTTTTTTCACGTGAGTTATTGACACACACACACACAATATATACTTATTTATGTATTTATGCACATACGAGTCATTAAGTGTTTCTGTTTGATCCCATGTATCAAGTTTCCAAACATCCTTCTCAGTGAGAGGCCTTTTATAGCCAAGCTGCATGATAGGATTCATCCAGGCGAACGTGATTTCTGATGAAAAAGCAATTAACCAGTTATTAGTTGGAACAAAATGTCAACAGTAAAACAGAAACTATAACACTTATAGGGAGGAAAACATTTAAAAAAACAGAATTAATAGGTTAGACAATTTCCTATATGTCCAAGCCGCACAGAAAATACAAATTTAGAATCACAAGAAAGTATCCCAGGGAAGAGGTATAGTGATTTCATAAAAGAAGACTTTAATGTGCACACGGAGATATAGATGAATTGACATGCCAACATCTGAAATAGTCAACATCAATAGCATAATTTGATAAGTAAAGCTTGTGATTACGTACTAGATAATATATTGGCATGCCTCTCAGGACATACTTGTTCCGCTCCAGGAAGTTCTTCATAGGCAGTATTATCAAAAGATTCCGCTTGCAAGGGAGAATATCCCGGATAAGGATCCAAATCAGGGACATAGAAAAGCAAGAGGACACCAAATAAAACCTACACGGTCAACAAAGTGGATTAAGAAATCAGGATTCAAGACCTCAGCCTTGATTATAGTTTTGCTCATTCATTACTAAAACTTTGTTCATCTAAGAGGATTCAAACAGACTGGATGTTTAGACAATGATTTGTCTCAGTGCAGTCAAGGAGGTGATATGGACTCTAGTCATTGATGCCAGTTTGATTAAGCCTCAATAATTGCACCCACTCATTTATTGTATCACACGTGATAATGTATACTGCTGTATCAAGAAGTTCTGTAAAGCATTATCCAGATTCCAGAGATCCAAATTGACACTTTAACACATTTAATTAAGGGCATCCCAAACATGGCCTTGAAGCTAATGTGAGATTTTTACTGCGGTTCAGTATTATATCGAAAAATAATTCTTCACACACTCAAGTGTTCAGAAAAAAAATTAGAATATGAAAATTGAGAAGTGAAAGTACCTGGGCAACCACTTCACTGGCATACAAATAAAAAACAGACCTGCAAAGGTAAGATACAAACACGAATGATAGTGTGCAACGCAAACTATAAGATATTCATATCAAATAAGTCATGCTCTTCTCAGTATACACTAAAATTCAATCGTGTTGAACATATAGTCTATGAATAAGAATATCAATCCAATGCTGAATGAAAATGTAATAAGAATATTCCATTAGAAACCACATGTGGGGTGGGCAGTTATACATTATAATAAATAAAAATATTCCATTAGAAATCAAAATATAATATGAAGCAAATGTACAGGTCAATATAGGTTTTAAGATAATCTAAAGCCAAATAACAATCGAACAAAGACTATGTAATGATGTTTATCGGCACTACCTAGTAATGGTGGATCAACCAAAACAATAGGATATGAACTAACATATAAATTTAAGAATATATTATGAGAACTAACCCATCATAGAATTCCCTGACAGAAAGAGCGAGATTCATCATAACAGTATCCCCGACCAGCGTATAAATAACCCCAAACCTAACAGACCAACGCGATTCACGGACGTAAACCCGTGTTTCCAGTCCAAGCATCACAAGGAGAGAGCACCATGTCACAGCCTCAATGATGAGAGAAACCACCTACAGGTAAGAATAATTTTTAAAATAAACTGTTAGCAGCCATTAACTAACCAATAGGCGAGTAAAAGTTAAATAAATCTCTAAGCAGAAAAATCAATACACTCCAAACACCTACCTCATATGGGGCGAGACCATGCTTACCATCCACATCAAATGCCGAAATACCCATGACCAATCTGAACAAAGGTTCGCCAGTGCAATAAAGGGACAACAGACCCAACAAATAATTGTAATAATTTGATCTTAAGCGGAATCTCTGAAGCGAAAAATCTTTCTTTAATCGCCATATCCGATTCAAGCACAACCCCAGAAGAACCAAATTTGAGATGCAGATCACCAGAGCGTCAGTAGCACATGGGGTGTAGCTTCCAAATGCATTTTCCACTATTTTTGACCAAACCCCATTCTTGACTGGCTTGCAATACCATTCAAACGGCTCGAACGCCATTTTAACTCACTCTTATCGCTAGTACTGTTTCAATCTACAAATACATTTCTCTGTGTCTTCTACTCTCCGCTGATTTCTGAAGTCGTGGAATATTTTTTCTGCGAAATTCAACTCCACGTCAGTCCGAGTATATAATCTTCGTATAGAAATATCTAAAACATAGAAACAGGTAAAATGAGTACACTATCTATATACGGGTCTAACCAACAGTCAATTCATTTTATTCCTTGGCCACAATATATTAATGATTTATTCTCCTGGAAACTACCTCAAAGTTGATTACGGATAACAAGAACTGTCTCAAAATATAAAACCCCAGTTAAAGAAATTTTCCTTTCAACTACCAAGTAGATGCATCGAGTTTGTGAGCCAGTAAATCTAAACAATTATGCAATTAAATAAAGCCTAAAGGTGAAAAAACAAAAGAATAAATTGCATGAATCTTCATATCCTTCCAATAACAACATTCTTCATTTACATATTCTTAATTTACACGATAACAAGCATACAGAAAAATCATCCATCTAGTTTCCAACTTTCAAAAATAAAACACACAGCTGCATAGAAAAACAAAAGGAAACACGTCAAGTTCAAGAGCAAAGAAGGGGGGCGAAAACCCCCCCAAAGAGGAGCGCGAAAGACAAACCGAGATCTTAAGACGAACGTAACGAATAAAAACTATTGCCGATTAGATATGAAAATTGAAAAGTGAAGCAATAATTATGGGGCAGAAGAAGAAGAAAAAAATGTCCTCCAATGGTGGTGGTGATAGGGTTACATACTGATTTTCCAATGATCAACAACACTTGGTGAGAGTGAAGGCGTGAGTGCGGCTGCAAATTGGTGGGCGTATCAGATCCATACACTTTTTCTTCTCTTTACAATTTTTCTGGAGACCAAACAGAAATAAAATAAATAAAGGTTTTCTCCTTTGTAGGCAGTCTGCAGTGCAGTGCACTTACTATTATATATAGGCTGTAGCCGAACAACAAACGGAGCGTCACCGCTTACATGAGGGTAGCAAATTGCAACGTGGGCGTGGAATATCAAGAGAATCTAATTATATTGTACCGGGGCCAACTGGAGAGAGGAATAAGGCAAAAATATATAATTATGGTTAGTTTATTAATAAGTTAATATATGTATGGCTGGCTGGCTATTGGATTTAGAACAAGCTAATTTTTTTTAGAATAATTATTATTACTTTATATTTGTGGAAATAATATTTAAGATATTTTATGGGTATTAATAAGTGCAAAAATAATTATAAAAAAAAGTGAAATTATTATTAGGTGAAATAAAAAATGTAAATAGTCCAAAAAGTAAGACGAATGAAAATTTGTATGCAACAGGATTGGATGTGACAAAGTGACAATGAAGTTTCGTCCCTAGCAACTTTATTCAAATATTTTAGGAAAATATTAGAAATAAGGAAGAAAAATTATGTCCACTGGAGGCTTTCAAATCTGCCATAAAGCACTTCCCTAAAGTCAAATTGTGAAGAAGAACAAATCAAATCTCTCTTGTTTGTATCATTAAATTGAAATAAAATAAAATAAAAAATAATCAACACAATATTTTATAAAATGGCAAATAGTAAAGGAAAAAGAAAAAACCACCAAAAGGGTCTAGGGGAATCGAAACGCAGCACGATTGGTTGGTGGTGGACCCGAAAGAAGTGGGGGACCCAAAGTAGATTTTCGGTCAATAACTACACCCGGCGAAAAACACCAGGTGATTTGTTACCGTTGATATTATGAAATAACATCCTAACAAGCACACATACACATTAACAAGCACACATACACATAAGTGTGTGTTTGATGTTAATAAACATCCAATCTATTTCACCGGATCTAGCATCAAATAAACGGTAGATTTTCCGGCTTCTACCAATTAACTACGAAAGACACCACTCCGAAAGTCACAAAAATAATAATGATTTCTTGCCCCCACCACTTTCGCCAAATACATTGGCAAAATATCAGAAAGTGGGACAACAATTACATTTAAGCCTCTTCTCTCTGAATTTATGAACTGCTGCCATCACAAAATAATACTATTTCTGAAAATTAAAAAAATTAAACAATATACTCCAGTAACATAATCCTCAGGGTGTCACTCAAACAAACAAACCAAAAAAAAAGGACAAATGCAAAAATATTAATCTTATGAACATTCTAAAAGTAGAAGCAGTAGTCCCATATGAGATAAAGGAACAAGGAGTGAAATCAATGTAACCTAGTGAGTTCTTCTACTCTCTTCATCAGTTCCTCCACCGGTACATTTATCGCCTTCGAACCCTCTTCCATCTGATTCCTGTTGAGATCGAGAAACGATTCAATTAAATCACCGTCCAAGAAATTTTTAGCATCGACAGTTTTCTTTTCGTTGTAGAAAGATCTCCACTGTTCATGAAATTCAGAAGATGACCATCCCCAAGAGCACATAACAAGTACGATATCTGACATAATCAAAAAATTAAAGCACCCAATGGTGTTAGCCCCATCAGAAGACAAATTCACATACGGAAAATATACTAAAATTATTAGGTACATAATATAAGAAGTTACGTAACTTAAGAATGGAACTAACCCCTTCAAAAGAACACAGAAGTACAGAGCGAGGAATTATCTCCCCTCCCAAGTGTTCCTTTGTAATAAGATTCAAGTCGGGAAGAGAAAATATCCTAACACTGATATCCGTCCACATTCCAACAGCTGCTAGTTGACTATGGTTTGGGTTATCACCAATTGGATTTATATCCAGGCATGAGATGTCATACTCCAACTGAATATGTTTTACTTCTGACAGTACACCATCACCAATTTCTAGATAGACCAAATGGCCACCACCAATAGCCAATAAAACCTGGTAAAGAAGATTCCTACCCCCAGAGAAAGCTGAAAATAACTCAAAACATATTGAAGCAGTAAATAACACACTGGCAATGTATAACATGAAAGTAGCAAAAAGCAGGAAGCACAATAAGAAGATAACTGAATTTGATGCTTATGATATTGGCTAGTTTCTTGCCAGATAATTTCCAGTTCGATCCTATAACTAATAGTTGGAACTTGGAAGTATACCTGGATTATACCCATTCCTGAAAATTATAATTTGTGGCACAGAGCGATAGTAATATCGAAAATTAGAAAAGTTGAAAGGATTAAAGATAGGAAAGAAGGGAAAATAATAAAATATTACGGCACATTAAAGATTGTTTAGAGACTCTATGAGTGAATGAAATAGAAAATAGAGTATCATGTTTTCAATTTTTTAAGTAATTAATTCTATTTAATACCAAAATTCCAAAAATTGGGGGCCCTCCATATTGTGGGCCTTGCTTCAAGACTGCATTAACAAACATAAAATTGTCACATATATGATAAATAACAAAGTTGGTGTCTCCCCATAACAGAAAACATAAAATTGTCGCATATCTAATAAATAACAGAGTCGGTGTCTCCCCATAACAGAAAACCTATGTGTTATCCTCTTTTTACACAAAATTTGTCCATGATGCTATCGATAGCTAACTCCATCGCCTGATATAGCCTCACCAATGCGATAGAACGAATTTTCGCCATTATGGACACATTCCTGCCAAAGACCAAAAAAATACAAGAGAAACAAAGATAAAAGATACAAGAAGAACAAAAATACAAACAAAATTCCTGCCATGAAACGTAAATCTAATTAAGACAAAAAATTAAATTCAATACTTACCACCTGCAAAAGGTCTTGTCAATAGAACTTTCGGATTCTTTAGCCCCAGCCCATTGAGATTCGTAAGATCAGTAACATTTTGCTCAGTCATGCAAATTTTGGCAACTTCCAACTTTGTCGGAAGCCTTGATGTGAATTCATTCTCTTCTAATTGATTCTCTCTCAACAGATGCTCCATATCATCTATGACCTGCAAAAGAGGTCAATTTAAAGAAAATACATAGAAATTCAAATAAAAAATATAATAGTACTTACGAGATATTTCAATTCTCCAAGGCCCACTTCACTTTTCATTAATGCTTCCGGTGTGCAAATGAGAACTTGACATTTTTCTGTAATCGTATCGCTCGTCGACTCTCGGTCGTCTACTAAGCAATCACCCTCTTCAGAAGAAGGCAAAAAGGGGGCTGCTATGCCAACAGATATCTCCATATAACAAGTCAATTGAAGAAAAATCGACCTCACCTATGCATAAAAATACAAAGGGATAATCACAACTATTGTTACCGGTAGGTATGTTACTTAGAAAAGTTAACATAACTAGAAAAAAGAATACCTTCAATGCTGAGGTTCGATCACGCACAACTATAAGTGCTTGGAGCCCATCCTCCTTGGTTACAGATTCGACAATCGGTATAGCATATCCAAGGCGCTTTCCAGTGCCTTTTGGCGAGCTAACATACAAATCAGTCTGAAATGGCCCGAGACGAACAGTAGAATTCACAATGGCCATTTGCAGTGGGCTTAAATTCTTTATCCCCATAGTCTTTAGTCCAGTTAATAGGCTAAGAAGAAAAATTAATTATAAAAAGAAATGAAAACATAAGAAAAATACAAAAAGAAGAAAGCAATATAAACTTATCAAAGAATAAATCTAGCAGAAAACATCTTGAATTTTCACCGAATACGTATTCATATGTGTGTAATATATATATATGCTAATGAGTCTGAACACGAACATTATAAATTATTTTTAGGTGACCATGATGTATAAAAGTCCTTCAAAATCTACATTAGTAAAATATTATTTGAATGTTTCAACACCATACCTGCACAAGCTGGTCATGAATAGCATCATGACAAAATAATGTCTCTACATCTGAAGAAAAACCTTGTATCTGACATTCTTTCAAGTCATTCTCAAGATTCATCTCCCAAATGCGAGTCCCGCTAATAAAGCTAACAACCAAGAACGTGCTATACGGATCATCAGTAGATGATCGTAACGACCACATTCTTGTAACTACTTGAAGCACTCGAGATGCCTGAAAATAAATTTACTGTGAAAATACGTTCGAAAAAATTGACAAGCATAAACTTATCAAAGCCATACCTACTCATTTATTCCAATACCATAGCTCAAAATGCGTAGAGAACCATCTTTATAGGCTCCTTAGCAAGTAACAAGCTGACATTGGCCTTGCCTCTCTGAGTCAACCACACAGAAGTCCGCAATTGGCCCCAAATTTTCAAAAATTTTAAGAACTTCCACACGAGGAACAATTTCATCCGCAAGAATGTTAATCTTTACGAGCTGGATTATACAATCAGAATTAGAAAAGTAATCTACATGAGATAATAAAATAATTGAGAAGATTTACAATGACAGCACTAATCAAAGTTATAAAGACATTTTTATGCAACTCAAGTTTCTCAGCTTGGTAGTCTTCACCTCAAACTTAGTAATCAAGACCTCACTCAGCAGAAAGATGCTAAGGAATTACCAGAAAATTCTTTTGAAAAGTAATTCCAAGTTCACAAATTTCTACTCAGTTTCCGTATAAAATCAAGGAGAACAAATTCTTAGGAAAAAAAAGATAAATATGCTAGAACCTCATTTTAGCAATTTATAGCCACTCTCCAACTACATAATAATAGATAAACCATACACATGTCTATTTCTTAGGAAATATAGTTACACTGCTAAGATCAATAGAATGAATATTCTACAAACCTGTGAATCTCCATAACTTGACCCCACAAAAACAACAGATGCACCAATATATGAAATTGATGATGCAACAGATGTTTTATCCAGGCGAACAATTTTGAGTCCAATGGGCCTAGTAGATTACAAATAGACATTAGGCATGCTAAACAAAATAAGCCTAGAGTTAGAAGCAAAAGTGAAAATATACATATTTCAAGAAACAATGTAACAGAAGACAACAAACTTACATTTTTCCTTCATGGGCAATATCAAGTGTGAGCAGATTACCATTATGATCACCGTATACGTAGCGTGCTCGAATTAAATCAACTCTTCCACAAGCACTTATTGTAGTCTTCAAAAAAGGGAAAACATTACTTTCATAATTAACATGAGAAGGCATAGAGACATATACATGCAACTTACGGGTTCTTTTGTGATTGTTTGTTGTCCTCCGCGACCTCTATAACATATTACTTTTTTACAAAAAAATAGAACACCACAGAAAGGTTCAGGTACTGTGATCATTAGTCACACAAAATATTTTAGTTACCGAATCGACCGTAAACGCTTGCACGTGAAAACGCCAAGAATTTTTGACAAACATAGTCTGCATATCAAGTAAATAATTTATGACATGCACACTAACAGAAGACAATCATAAAAAATAAGCAAGAATCATAGATTCCAAAAGGTACTCCAGCAAGAGCATCAAACTTGACAAGGAAATAGTATACGTCTAGGATAAATGAAAACCTTATACAACATAACAACGGTTGGTTTCCCACAGCCATAAAGAAACTTGATGTCCAAAACGTGACCCCGATTAAGCCTGATGAAGTAACAAAACCAAATACAATGTAGGTTAGAAAGAGTAACCCAAAGCACAGTCCATTTCAAAATGACAAAATGAATGACGTGTAGTGCTTTAAGGTTGCATTAAATACTTAAATTGCAGTTAGAACACCGTATGATTATCAATTATATTTTCTCTTTCGAGCTGCAAGTCAGTGTATGAACAACTAGAGAAATAATAATAAGAAATACCATAAGAAATAATAATAATCATGGTTGCAGTTTCTACGATAAAAATTAATAATAATCAGGAAATTTCCTCTTTCAAGGCATATACTAAGACACAGGGACTAAATCGTCTTTTAATATGATCATAAACATAAAAGTTTGCTATCATCAGAAGAGCACCAACATTAACAGGAATGGTAAACAAGAAATAAACAGGTACGCTCCGCTATACAACAGGCAACCAAAAATCAAGCATTTCCATGAATAAGAAGAATCCACTTTTCTTTCCGAATGATGCATTATTAGAGTTTTTCATAGGAGAAAAATTACCGAATATTAAATGGTTCTCCGAGCTGGCCTGCGTTGGTGAATGGAAAGACCTAAAATGCAAACAGCAATTCCCATAATGTACAGTGAAAAACAATGAAAGAAACAGAGTTTTAAACTATCAACAGAAACAAAACAGATAAAACACAGAGATTTGAGGGGCATGTGGAAAACCTTGAGTATTCCATTAGACATATGAAATACGATCAGCCGGCCATCCGGATCAACTGTACCAACCTACGCATACAAAAATAATAAGTCATATAATAGTTACATTTCTTCAGTAGATAATTCTGAGATCAAGATCGAAGTATTAAAACTCATAGCAAAACAATAAATACCTTTATGTTATGTGTAGGACTTCTCTCTGGGTGCCAAGCATCCCCCGTTACCCTATTCAATGTAGAACAGAAAACCTTACCAATAATTATCATAATGATAATCAAATAACCTTCGAAATAAAGACTAGTTCTAAGGCCTCATTTGGATTGCCTGGAAGACAATTATTTCAGGGCAACTCAAATGTTAACTGGGCAAGACTCAGGTCATGAAGCCATTTGGATGTACAAAGTATCCACATCATATAGTACACATAGGAAAATGATTGACTCATCTATTGAGATATGACAGAAATTATTGAAAATAATATAAGTTTCAACATGTCAGCACAAAGTAACTAGAATTTCTAAGATATAATCGCCTAAAACTTCAATAAACTAGTGGCACACCTTGTAATAATAACCTCAGGACTGAGTCCCCTATCGAGAGATAACTTTGTTTGAAGAAATATTGAAAATATCAAAGTTCTAACATATCAGCACACGGAAATATTTTTCTAAGACTTAATCACGCAAACTTCAACAATCTAGTGCCAGACCTTGTAATGACATCAGAGGTCTCTGCATCCCATTGCAAAACACAGAATGCATATCTTTCTGTAGCTACAAAAAGAAGATCTCGAGCTTCTCCCTGTTAAGTTAATACGAGAGTAAGAAGTCAGTGACTTTATATCTACTTCACTAGGTCATGAGAACAAAACCAGTCAGAATGCATGAGCTTGTAATCAAATGGAATGTCAAGGAACTAAATGCCTTCATATATCAATCAAGACTTACATGTCTGACGGAAGAGCTCAAGAGTTAAAATTCTTCCATGTATTGGCACATCTATCATATGCTGTAGAGGCCACATACATTAGTATTATGATCGACCAGATAACCAAAGATTAAATTGAAAATTGAGTAATTCTACTGCCCCTTCTAGAATTGCACTAAGCACATGGTTTCATTACCACACTCCTTTAAACCCACCCCATCATTTTCTTGCTATTTTGTCGATAATTTATAACATAGTTTGTATGAACCTCTCAATGTATCACAAAAGGCATCAATTAATTAGAGCATGCCACGGAAAAATAATTTCATAATATATATTCACTAACGTAACTTCAGTGTTGTACCTGTAACTGTAAGCCTTCATCCAAGCATAAGTAGATCTCTATTACGCTGCACTTCCTGAAAATTTGTACACACGCAGGAGCAAATCAATACACACTCAAATAGAAAATTATGAACGGTATGTTCACTCGAAAACATAGCACCTCCATATTTTCTGTCAAACACATCATTTTCTGTACATCGAAAACATAGCACCACGCGTAATTTCTGTCAAACACATCATTTTCTGACACTCGAAAACATAGCACCACTCGTAATTTCTGAGAAAAAAATAAATACACGAAAACATAGCACCACGCGAATTCGAGGAAAAAGTAAATAAAGGAGCGGTACACTTACGCAACGATGAGATTTCTTTCAATAGGATCGGTGAAATTGCCGGCGCTTGTATCTGGTTGTCGCCACATAATTCCATAAAGTCATCCTTCTTCAGAGATTTGCTTCGTGAAAAACCCTTAAACTCCACTTCTAAACCCTAAAACTCCACTCCTCGCTGTGAAAGAGAGGAAGGATGATCTGGTGTAGTAGTGTACGAACTGTTTTTTTTTTTTTTATATACATCTGAGTTTATATATGTAGCAGACTTGCCACTTTTTATTTTTCTATTATTTTCTTTTGACTTGTATTGGAAAAATCAATTTTGTAAAAATATGTTGTTTGGAATTTGAATAGCTGGGAATAGACACGGTCACGGGCCGGTTCGGACCGGTTCACGGTTCACATTTTCCGGAACCGGAACCGGCCCGTGGCGTGCACGGTTCACCGGGCCGGGGCCGGGTCGGCCCGCCGGTTCGGGCCGGTTCACGGTTCACGGTTCACCGGTTCGGGCCGGTTCACGGTTCACCGGGCCGGGTCGGCCCGGAAATTTTGAATTTTTTTTTTTTGTTTTTTTTTTTTTTGGAAATAT